GATTACCAAGGAGAAACTGGACTGGTGCTACATAATGGAGGTAAAGAAGAATATATCTGGAATCCAGGAGATGCCGTAGGCTGGCTCTTAGTACTACCATGCCCTGGGATTAGAGTAAATGGTGAATTGCAGCAGCCCAATCCTGACAGCACATCTAATGACCCAGCCCTTCAATCCTGAGGGTTCTAAATTAAAGGTCTGGTGCATCTCACTAGGCAAAGAGCCACGGCTAGCTGAGGTGCGGGCCGAGAGCAACGGCAATACAGAATAGGTAATAGAAGAAAGTAGTTCTACCTATCAATTAAGACCACATGATCAATTGAAAAAGTGAGGTTATGGCTGTCAGTCTATCTTCTTTATATGTGCTTATTGAATATCTTTCCTTTGTTCAGGTATGATGCACCAGATACAATTAGATTCAGTGTGTTTTCATTTATATGTATGATAGATGTATGATGTTAGGTTTAAGTGGGATTTCACTGATGTCTGGAATTTCTATATGGCTAAAGAATTGTGTACGGGTGCTAACCTGGCTAGAGGTCGACTGTGATAGGTAGGTTTATTGGGACAACCTGCAGAATTGTGTACGGGTGCTAACCTGGCTAGAGGTCGACTGTGATAGGTAGGTTTATTGGGACAACCTGCCCAATAGGAACATGTGGGATTAATCATGCCTCAGTGTGATTGGAGGGCAAAGATATAAATGACTCTGCAAAGCCTCCCTCCCCCCTCTCTTGCTCTCTGGTGATCACAGCATGCTGGAGCTAGTTTTCTGCCTCAACCTGTTAGCGTTACCACCTGTGGGCCAAGCCTACCCAGAGATGATATCGCTTGAGCTTGAGGCTCCTTTGAGACCAGCTTCATTTCACTGCTGGTGTGTGTATCGCTTGAGCTTGGGGCTAGTGGATCCCGTCACCTTGCATTGCTTGTGTTCGATATCCCATCCGGGCCTGCTTTGCTAAGCTATTGAGCTACTGACTGTTGGTGACCCACTCTGCTGCTTGTTGCCTGTGGGCAGACTCTGCTTGCCTTGCCGAAGGAGGATTCTGCTGTCTGCTTCCTGGATCTTGGACCCGGTATCCCACGTGAGTTGAAGGACTTCCAGTATATTAAGTGTTCCATGGAAATGAGTTGAACTGAATTCTCTATATTGCTATGTGGACTAATTAGCTGTTATATTCCTTTTTGCTGTATAAACATATCCTCTTATACATATATAAAATCATCATATCCTGGTTTTATTTCTCTAGAGAGTCCTGTCTAACACAGCATGTGTGTGTGAGAAATATTTTGATCAATAAATGGCTTACACAATTTTGTAAAAGTTGGAAAGTTCAGTATAGTTCAAGTCTATTGGCCAGATGTGAGCTGAGGTATCTTCTGACTGGTGTAGCTGTGGAAGCTGACACACATGACACAGGATGATGAAGGAGAAATGCCACAGGCTGGGGGATGCAGACATAAACAAACTGGAGGTTGGCCAAATGAATTCAAGGTATACTGACAGCCCCTGTGATTGGCAGGTGACACATCAGGAGACTGACAAACCAATCTCAGGATCTCCAGCTCCAGCAGAAGGGGCAGGGGCAAGGGCAAACGAGAACTCAGCCCTGTTTAGGGTCTCTCTTTGTACAAAAGGCCTCACCTCCAAGGAGGTTCTTCAGGCTCCAACCTGATTGATAGGTTGGGCTCCACCTGGACCTTCCCCCAGGAATTGCTAGTTGGTATAAACCCGAACCAACACAGGCCCTTAAGTTTGTCCCTATTTTCTCATTGATGATCTTTATAGCTTGAATTTTTACAATCGGATCTTTGATCCATCTTGAGTCTGCTTTGGGGGTAATGTAAGGGTTCTGTTTAATTCTTCTGCAGATAGAGATACAGTTTTGCTGCCACCCTTTATTGAGGAGGTAGTCTCTTTCTCATAATGTTTTTTGGCCCTTTGTTGAAAATATTTTGTCTACAGGTGGATTGATTTATTTCTGCTCTATTGGTCTGCGTACCTTTAATTGTGCTAGTATCAGGCTGTTTGACGACTCTGGGCTGTGTAATGGGTTTTGAGGTCGTGTAGTGAGAGGCCTCCGACTTTGTTCTTCTTCAGATGTTCTTTGGTTACACGAGGTGTCTTACCTCTCAGCATAAAGGGGTTTTTTTTTCATTTCTTTAAAGATTTGGATCACAATTGCCTTATATTTGTAGAATTATTTACCCAGGGTTGATGCTTTCACAATATTAAGCCTTTCTATCTATGAACACGAAATCCAAATCTAGCAAAAAGCAAGCGAGCCTTGCACACCCCTGAGGAAATTCTCTTTCAATTGGTGGGCTGCTCATAGCAGATCCCATATGGAAGTGATTCCATGAAATCATATTTCATCATGGAAGATAACTACATCTCATGGAAGACAACTGCATCGTAACTTGAAACTCACTGAAAATCATGGCCCAGGCAAGTTGACACAGAACTTTACCAGCACACTTCCTAACTTTCTTCACAGCATTTTCTACCATTAGAAATTATCTATTAGTTTGCATATTTATTGACAATCTGTATTTATAAGTCGATGAGCAGAGGCTTTTATGCTCTACACTGCACCCACACACACACACAAATTATAGAACAGTGTGTGGCCCTTTGTATTCCCTCAATAAATACTTTTTTAAGTGAAAAAGCAACGTGTCGTATATCCTTGGTCCATGGTCAGATGGGATCCACCAGGAGCTTAATCCAGGTGTATTTCCCCATTCTTTTTTTTTTTTTTAGTTAAAAAGAACACCCAAAAGATGATTATTTGTTTAAAAAGAGATCTGCTCTGTAGGTTTTCTTAGCAGCACTCTTGGCAGGGCAGATTGCCAGACCTTTCCTTCGAGGTGCCACTGAGCAGACATGAACCGCCAATCATTAGGTGGATCTTTGTTGCTCACAGCCATGAGCAAATCACTTGTGTCACTACTACCATAAGTTCATCTCCAGGCCACCTTCTGAGGTACCTGCAAGTGGACTTGAACCTCCAGTCTTATGGTAAGCAGCCAAGTGCATTAAGCACTTTCACCTCCCAGGGGCTCCTCAATAAACAGATACTGTGGGATTCTTCTCTCTCATGTTCCTAGACTGGACACAATGAATGTGGCTCATTCATTTGTGCTCTTGGTCCAGAAACAATTTGCTCCTGAAGAATAAAAGTCGTTTGGGGATCTCTTTTATGTTGGAGCTGCTGGTTCTTCTTTGTGGTTTTATAAACGGCCAGGAACTTTAGGTCCACGGGAGTACTTTCGCCCAGTGCTTAATCAAAGACACGTGGGAAAGCTTGTGAGGTGTCACGAGTTGCAATCCTGGGTGCCACGAATCCATAATAATAATAATAGATTACACTAGTGTGAGGTCCTTCCTGAAGGTTGGCCTGAGGTTGGCTTTCTAGCCTTCTCATTAGGAGAAGCTGTGAAAAGTTATGGGCCTTCGGTAGTATTGCTGTAAGATTTCTGTCGTATACGACTTCACAGCTTATAAAACACTTTTTGCGTTCATTTGTGTCATGTGATGTTCATGACTTTATGACCACCTGGGGACAGGTTAGTCTCCGCTTCATTATACAGCTGGAGAAATGAAAACCCCCAAAGATGAAATGAATTGCCCAAGGTCATTCAGATAATGATGATAAGACGCTTCCATTCTGGGTTCTATGATCTATTCAGGCTGCCTAGGCACAAGCAGAAATGTTTATATCTTAAATGTTATCCTGTTAGCTGTTAAGCTCCTTCGTTGCTTTGCCAGTTACATACTCTTCGCGTGAGGATTTCCAGAGCTTGACTCCTACCCCCACCCCACCCCCCAAAAACCTAAAGCATCAGAAACAAAATGGGTAAAATTTAAAGCAGAACTTAGTGATTTTATACTAATATGTCAAAATGCAACCTCTAGGTTCAGATTGAGTTGATGTGATTTATTCTTAAAAGAAACAGTCTATAATCAGAAGTAAATTCAACCGAAGGTTTAATTGCTTGTGTGTTTTGGCTTCATTTAATAGGAAATTAAAATTCATTTTTAATGCATTTATTAAAACATCAGGGAAGAAAAAGATACCATATCACAAACGCTTTTAAGAATTCATTAGCTAATGTCAGTAAAGCCCCACTAGAACATGTGGGAAATAAGTTTGATGGCGAGTTGAGAGGGAAAGAAACGATATCTGCTTTTTATTTAAACCTGCAGTGTGGTTGAGTTTCCACCCAGATGCCCCTCCACCTCCCCATACTGACATCTGCAGAGTGTGTATAAAGGGACGTTAAAGCGTTACCTTCTGGGCTGTGTGTAACTCAGGGAAAACCCAGTCTTCACCCTGATTTCTCCTTCAACACATGCTAAGAAGTGCTGCGTCTCATCATGTTTCACTGGACAAGAAGATGACAGAGTTTCTTTAGCGCAGTTATACATGTTCGATCTTAGATTTCATACAAACCAATGTCTGAAATGTAGACTCAAGATCATCATAGTTCATATTAAATGGGCGATATCACTCATCCCTGGAAATGTAAAATGTGAACATCTATATCTATATCTATCTATCTATATATTTAAGTTAAGAATTAACTGTCATGTCTAAATAGTTTTTATTTGATTTGCAATACTTTCTTTCATGAAAGTCATCCTAGAATTCAAACTTTAAAAGGAAATCCAACAGAGAATGATGTTGGTTCTCTGGTGCTTGTTAATGTATACATTCTTTTATGTTTGGCTCAGAAAAACTATTTTTTAATATGTCAAGTGCCCATGAATACAGAATCCATAAGTAGGCTCTCTATGATAGTCCATTGACCTAGCTGTCATTCATTTCATAATACAACTGAATAGCTAACCGATCAACTTTTTCACATTGTTGTTCTTCATGAGCATCTTCGCATTTTCTTATAGAGGTTAGCATCAGCATTTAGAAATTCTTTATAAGATATTTTAGTGAATTGCCATGTTTTACCATCTGAACAATTCACATCCTTCCTGACAGACAACAGAAAGATCAGAGTGAATGGAACCAAAGAGCCCATCGAGTTCAAGTCCAATCAGTGGTTTGGAGCAACAGTGAGAGCACACAAGGGGACAGTTGTGGTGAGTACAGACTGTGTTTGTGGTGTTGCCTTAGAATTCTACGTGGACAGAACTTTGCCTTAAACTGCCTACTTACAAAAACCCTTACATGGAAAAACCAGTCAGCCTTTCAAAGATGAACTTTATTGGCATTTTAGAAGAGCCACTTAGAGCTTAAAATGGAAGAGTGTTTTATTGTTTAAAGCTCTAGAGGGAATGAAACGTGTGTGGCATTTTTCAAATATTGAAAAACATCTAAGAAAGAAAAGAGCTAAATCCTAGCAATGTTAATATTGTCTTGCTAGAGATTGGTGTAAAGGACTGATGGAGATGCAACGAAGGAATAGGACTACTAATTTCAGATCCCAAGCAGAAGCCTTGCCCTTGAGGCCATGCTGCCACACTTGAACCCAACAGAGACCACAGCTGCTTTGTAGAGTTCCCAAGTGCAGTCCTCATGGCAGCCGACTGCCTTACCTCTCTCAACGTCTCATCATCAGTGGCGTCAAAGAGTTAATATACTGGGGCATCACTGGCCCTTTTCAGAACTACAAAACAAACCAATGCCTGGATGTCTGAGTTCATTAGCACTTTCTAAGTAAAACTCTCATTCCCAAAGCTTTGACACGTTCCTATTTTATAGTTCTGTTCTCATTGCCTTGAGCAATGATACAATGTCTAAGTTTGTGAGAAATCAATTATTGTATTAAAAGTGACCTAGAAGTGTTCTGCTTTATTTTTAGTTTAGGAGCTTTTTTTTTTTTTTTTAACTTGTTCACTTTAATTTCCTTACAACAATAAAGAAGTTATTATGGCTTTGGGGATTTGCCTAAAGCTGCTTGAATTATGATTTAATAAGAATAATTACATAAATATATAGAGGAAATGCTTTGCTTTATTTGACCTTGTGGTTAATTTTCTAAAGAGAATGTGACATAAAATAAGTAATGTATAAAAGTAGAGATAAAGAGCCCTCTCAAGGTACAAGGAGCCTGGTGGTAGAGTAGACTACGAGTTGGGCTGATAACCCAAAAGTTAGCAGTTTGGAACCATCAGCCGTTCTAAGGGAGTAAAATGAACTTTTGACTCTCAGAAAGAGTTACAGTCTTGGAACCCCACAGGGGCAGGTCTCGATGACACTGTGTTTGAGTGAGAGTGATAAACTCAGCATTTATAATATACTTCCTATAGTCTCATATTTTCATTAATCCAAGTTTTAAAAATCTTTTAGTGGCTTAGAAAAAGAGCATTGGTAACTCAAGGGTTAAAGCATCCAGCCACTAACTTAAAGGTCAACAGAGTGCTTCTGTTCATATGACTGCCTTGGGAGCCCTATGACGTTAAGTTGGAATTAAGTCAGTGGCAGTGGACAGTGGACAGTTGGTATATGACTTATAGGCATTAGCACTGTTGCTAATTTTATAAAGTTAACTGGGCTTAAACATTCTTTTAGGGTGTTTTGATTATCTATAATATATCATTTTTGCCTGTTTAATATTTGTATAATCCCTCAAAACCTCTGAAAATAAAATAATATGTGCCATGATCACAATAATAAAGAAGCTTGCATTTTAAAAATATGTAACAAGGAATAGGATAATAGAAAGTCCGTCTCAAGTTAAATTTGCTGCTTTGGGTGCTGAAATGTAGCACAACAGAGAAGTCAATTTGTCGTATGTGGCATAGTCAGAACCACAAAGTGCTGTCTGTGAAGCATCATTTTGAATAGCGACATATTGTGTGAAGACATATTTGGCTTAAGTCACAGCCAAGGCTTGTAATTATTACAGTATCGGTGTGAAACAGAAATGGTTATAAAAAGGATAACTGGTATGGACTGAGGGTCCGCAAAGTAGCGAAAAGAATTTCCATGGCATTCCAAAGCCCTTTGTTGAGAAGGAAGGTGAAGTCCTTTGGCAAAAAATATGTGTTTCATATCAAAAGCTTAGGATGAATTTACTAACATGATCACTTGTCAGAACACGAAGGGGGTCTGGGACCCTAGGTGAGGGAAACCAGATGAGTTAAGAGTTTTTATAGATTGGCTAAGATGTTATAAGTCAGTTTTTCCATTTCTCAGAAGTCAAAAGTCAGGAGGTTACTTTGTGATTCACTGGGGAATAGAGTCAAGTTTGCAGAAAGTAGTTATGTTTTGTTAGGTGCCATTGAGCCGGCTCCGACCCATAGCATCCTTATGCACAACAGAAAGAAGCACTGCATGGTTCCGAGCCATTCTCAGTGTCCCCATAATTGAGCCATCGATGCAACCACTGTGTCAGTGCATCTCATTGACAGCCTTCCTCCTTTTTGATTGCCCTTCCACTTTACCAATCATAATGTCCTTCTCCAGGGTCTGGACGCTTCTGACAACATGTCCAAAATATGTAAGACAAAGTCTTGCCATCCTTGCCTCTAAGGAGCACTTTGGCCTTACTTCTTGCAGGACAGATTGGCGTGCCCTTTTAGCAGCCCAGTGTACTTTCAACATTCGTCTCCTGCATCACAGCACACATGCATCAATTTCCCTATGGTCTTCCTTATTCAATGTCCTACTTTCACATGCATATGAGGCAAGGAGGAAATGATGGCTTGGATAAAATGCACCTCAGTCCTCAAAGTAACATCACTATTCTTCAACACTCTAAAGAGATTTTGTGCAGCAGATTTACTTAATGCAGCTCATCTTTTTATCTCTTTCTCTTTTTAAAATCATTTTATTGGGGGCTCATACAATGCTCATCACAATCCACACATCCATCCATTGTGTCAAGCACATTTACACATTTGTTGCCATCATCATTCTCAAAATATCTGCTTTCCACTTGAGCCCCTGGCATCAGCTCCTCATTTTCCCCCTCCCGTTTCCCCTCCCTCACGAACCCTTGATAGTGTACAAGTCATTATTATTTTGTCATATCTTACACTGTCCAACATCTTCCTTCACCCACTTTTCTGTTGACCGACCACCAGAGGAGGTTATATGTAGATCCTTGTAATCGGTTCCCCCTTTCTACCCCACCTTCCCTCTACCCTC